ATCTACTAATTATATTATAATGCTTGTAAAATGATGGATTAATTATTTTTCTATGGTCGACTGTTAAAAGATTTAGTGTCGTGTTACGTATCAGTCAGTCATCATCAAAGTAGAGGTTGACATGGGTATACGTTACCATAACACAATAGCGCAAGAAGATGAAACTGACATAGTGAATAACAAAAGATATTGAAATAAATTAGTAGCAATGACAATAAGAATAAACAATGGTAATATGCTTTAATTAGACAGCTTGTAAAATGCGCATGAAGGAATAATGCAATCTAATTTTAAGGGAGATTTTAGAGAGAATAAATCAGGGCCAATGTTACTATTTATGAGCTAAGTCTGTAACTGTTAAATCCCAAATATCTTCCTGATCATAATCGGGTATTCTGAATCTATCTACACAGCAGAGATCAACATTCGATAATTTATAATACTAAGGCTGCGTCTTGATTCCACTGCTTTGTTTTTGATAGATGCTCCAAAGACCCTTTTAATCAATGATTTATTGGCTGCGTATACTTACATTTTTTAAACAACGTTTGACAACAATAAAGTAATACAGGGAGAACTGTTGAGCCATATGAACTCCATTTTGTTGGCAAACGGACATCTCAGTGACGATTGGTGGAAAAGGCAACTGAGCGTTCTGAATCTATGTTATGATTTTGTTGCAAACCAATGTGCTAGGGGTGATGAGACATACTTTCAGAGAAAGAGAAACACAATCCAAAAACTCTAGAATTGTTGTACAAGACGATCGAAAGACTCAACATTGGGTAAGCATCCCCACCAAATAGGAATATATCTAAATATTTTAAATCTGAAGTAAACCTCTTGGCGAAAATCAACTGATTGAAAAGTTAAACCGATTACTTATAACGATAGATGGACAAGTACTTAGTTCAATTTCTTCGTAATAAATAGATCCGTTCGTTAGTTATTTGATAACTCAAAGATAACGTTCATCGCACACTAACCTTGCAACTGAAGACCATTTGAAGCACCGAAGTAATTCAGACTAATCAAGTTACAAATCCTATGTAAACTATTTCACAGAATAATATCCATTAATGATAAACTACATTCGTTTCTACCATTTTATCAGTCTTTCATTGGTATTCAGAGAGTAACTTGAAGTAAATAAACCATTCAGTACAGTCTTATTTATTTAAACACATAAATATTGGTACAATGAAGCACCAGATAAATATGCACCACACAAATCTCATTTGATTTGTGTAGGGCTGTGATACTGCCCAGGTGCCCAAACCGAAGCAGGTAGTTACCCTAGGGGGCCATACCCGGAGCCTTTGACCTGAATGTCTGATCCACAAGGCAGTGGAGCATCGTGAGGAGATGCAGTCCCATGGTAGCCGTTGACCAATGATAGGTTCCTCCGCCATTCGTTCCATCAGGATACTGGAGCCCATGTGCACCATTGGCTTGGAATCAGGGTTTTCCAACTCCCCTATGTGGACCCTCCACATCCACTAACCCGGGTAAAGCGCCGGACATTCGCTTTTCGTCCTCTCACTTTTGTGAACAACACCCCCGCCACGAGAAGGCAGTGAGTAGAACTTCCCTGACAGAGGCTATATATTCGCTGGCCATATGAGAGTATTTCAAAAGAGAGAGCAGACTCTCCCCACTCTCGACCGTACCAGGGCATTTGGGTACAGTCTAGCTTTCGATTATAGTACCATAACTGTGATCATATTCTTACGTATACCATTTACAAATAAAACTAATCCCTTGAACTTTTTATTAAATCACTGATTCTACTAATAGTAACATATTCTATATATTTTTAGTAATAAATAGAGGAAGAGAAGAAAAATAAGAAGTAAATTCTATACATAAATTTGTACTTTATACACAAGTGTGAACAAGAGAAATTATAATTTCTTCATGTATCACAATTCCCAATACCATCTATTCAATCATTGAACTAATAACTAATATGTAGACTCATTAAAACAAACAAAATCCAGTGTGTCAAAGAAAATTTCATACAAATTATGAAGGAAACTTGTTATAACATGCTGATATGTGTATTTGTATGAGTAATGTTGAAAAAGAAATTGGTAAATATTTAATTATCAATGTTCTTTTTTGGTTTCCTTCAAGAACAATCATGATCCATTATAGAGGATATAATGAAATTTACATTTTTATGGCTATTATGGTTGGATACCAGTCGGCTCAATGGTCTAGGGGTTAAGCGAGCACGCACAAAACTGATAGGTTCTATGTTTGAATCTCGCTAGGCGGGATCGTGGATTCGCACTGCCGAGGTGTTCCACAATAAGACGAATCGGCTGTCCAGTGCTTCCAAGTTTTCCATAGTGGTCTAGCTTCAATTGATTCATGATCTCAATTATTTATCGAATTTAGTTAAAATTTCAATGATTTTTTTCTCTCTAGATTTATTTAGGCTACTGAACTTGTTCATAATGGTTTACAATGAATATGTCCAATATAGTTTAACTCAAACTTATATTCAACTAAATAGTAATCACTTATTAAATGAATAGGAAGCTTATCGAAAATGTAGAATATAAAAATACCAGTGGGAAACAGATATAATAAATTAGACAGTAACGGTGCTTTGTATTCATCAACATTGACTTACTTTTTTACTTTTGTTTCATTGTACTTCAACAGTACGAACATGTGATCAAAGGTGAGACTAACTGTCACTGATATTAAGTCTTAGTCTACGTGCCAATAGTTTTCTATTGCGGGAAGGGGTTGCAATCTAATTGATTGTTGGACATAAGTTGAACGAGTCCATCTTCATCAGTTAATTTCTTGCAATCTCCTTGTAATACACTATTTATAAATTATGATAAAATATTTCTGGATCGCTTGATTATGAGTTGTCCAATGCTCTCAGGCATTTGGAGTTGGTAATCAAATTAATATGGATGTTATGTTTAGACTGAGATTTCCAATGTGGTATATTAACTATCTTAGACAGTTAATAAATCTAACAATGATGTTTATATATTGACAGTTACTTATAATTATATGGTTAAACTCATTAATAACTGAGGTATTCTTATTGATTCCACTTGAAAAGTAATTTTAAACTATAGAACCTTATCAGAAGGGGGTTTTGTGGAAATTTTAGTAATTTTATATAGTTGAGTCTTAGGGTTTGAATCCCACGACACGGGATCGTGGATCCCAACTATATAAAACTGTAGAACCTTATTTGAAATCAAATTAACATAAAAAAATTGATATTGAAATTCCACTGTACTTTGTAAATAAACTTGTTTACAGAGAATATATTGAATATTTATTCAGTAATCATAGGTTCTAAACGTTCAATATTGGAAATAGTAGCTAAGGTCTACACCCATGATCATTCAAAGTGATACTGCCAATTATATTAGGTAGTGATTTTAATATTTATTATCAAACTTTATAGTTTAAAGTCATTTACATAAACGGTTAATCAGTTTTAGGAGAACATAGAATCTGAGACATTTGTGCCGCGGTTCTTTTTTTATATGACATCACAATGGCAAGATGTAATTATCAAGTAAAATAACAGAGTGATAGAAATAGTAACAGGTTTAGTATCAAACACAATAATAAGTTTAAAGACGAATTCATGGGAATTTGAAAGATGAGATCTAAAGAAAGACAATGGATAATTGCATCTGAGCTATGGTAATCGATTGTGACACATCTTGTTCAGCATCTCCAGCACATGATTACGATAATTATTCTAATCTTGATCGTCAAGTTTACACCTACCTACGCACTTCAGTGTAACACGCAATAGCTTAATCAACAGGTATCATGTTCTGATCCGACCACTTTCAGCTTTTCTCCAACTTATTCCTTTATAAATAAATATCGGATGTTGAGGTTGGCAGTTTTTGGACTTACACAGTACAAATAAAAGAAGTTTTCTTTAACTTTATTACAGCTGGAAAACATGGTGAATAACGAGTTAGAATTTGTGACAATCGGTTCTGGATTTAAGTGAACAACTATATACTAGAATACAGTTATATTCAGCTAACAAGTCCTAAATAAGATGAAATTGGCTTTCTGTATTTACTTAGTATGTTTAATCTAACTACATGAATGATTTATCAGCTGTTTTTTAAAATATAAACTGTCATCAACTAGAGTAGTATAATATACCAAAAAGCACTCGACTCATTGATCTTAGATACTGTAACATTATTCAACTAAGTACAATCACAATATCTGCCATTCGAGTTTTCTTACTGATAGCTTCAACTAATCAGTCAGTCAGTTACAACGTAGAACTTCGTACGTACGTAAATCAGTTCGAGTTGCCATACCACATTAGCACAGAGGTGCAGTTGTCGATTCAAATTCCATAGTGGTAGAAGTAGTAAGAGTATAAGCAGTAATCGGAAAGATTAGGGGTTGAATATGTTATTCAAGGAGTATAATCCAGTGAAATAAATTTAGAAAGAGAAAAAAATGAAGAATTCAGATTAGAATTGGGCAGAACACAAAGAGTGGATGCAACTTCACCATTGCAAACGATTTTCAGCCATGTCATTTTAGGTCTCTAACCATCGATTGCTATCATCTCGCAAATCCCAACCAGATAGTCTACACCTAACAACATGACTCAGTCCACTTGTTAGTGACTTCATGGGTTTGTACCACGTTTTGGTCTAGCCGCCCCTAGCTTTCTTCTAACCTACTCCTACACCATAAAACATTGCACGTCGGCCAAGTGGAAGTAGGAAGAGCACGGTTTGGACAGTGTGCAAGATAAATCCCCCCTAAGAAACTATGAACTACTGGGTCAGATAACTTAGATTTTTCCTTTAACTACATCGAAACCAAAGGACTAGGTGATCTGTTAACATTTTCATGATTTATATACATGAAGGCCATCAAACAAGCACTAACACGGCTAAATCTTACATAAAACACTCAAGATTTAGGATTGAATATGATAAATACTTTTTTAATGATTATTCCCAAACCTGTAGTGAATTGATAGGTAGATCTATTTGAGAAAAGTGACTGAGTCTCGACCGAAGGCGAGAACTTCAGCAATTCGCCCTTCACTAGCCGTTCATACTAAACGTTACATCTCGGATACCAATTGCAATGTAACGAAGTAGACACTCATTCACAACTAGTGAAAATAATCATACGTGTTTTGTGCCACGTTTTGATCTGACCACTCCTAGCTTTCCTCCTACCTATGCCTACACCAACTAATAATATTATTCAATGACAAAAACTACACAATTCTACAGAACTTAACTTTTGAAGAAAAAAATATACATATATGTAGAATTCACTAACTTACTTCATATTTGTTCCATGATGATGTATTGAAGTTGTTGTGTAATCATGTCCACATTTTATTGTCTCCATGATACAATCACGTTTATTATCAGTCATTAAAATACAAAGATAATAAATGTATTTATTGTAATGATGTAATATAAGTCAACTATTTATATTGAAGATGATTATTTGTAATAATGATTGTAATGATAATGTTCGTTCTGTTGAGATCCACACACACGCATTTAAAGAAGAAGAAGAAGAGATTTTGTGGATTAATTGGAAGCAGAACTCCTTTTATCATATATATATATGTATATAAATGGATACATTGTCTGGTTGGTTAGCTTTTAATAAATAAATTTCAAAAGTTTTTTTTTATCTAAAGCAGTTTTATTAATGGATAAATGCACAAACAATACACACATATACATACATACATACATACACACAACATGATCGTAAGAAATAATGGAATGATTATAAGTATTATTATTTGTTGCCTAAACACATGTATGTTACTTCTGTGCGTTAGTTGTTATCTCTTGTTTGTGTATCCGTATATATGAATTTTGAATTTGCTTATGGGGGTGGTGAATAGGATTGTGTATACAAAATTTTTTAAAACCTCTAAAGTTGGATTGGTTTTTTTCTAATTTTAAGATAATCATAAAATAATTTGGATATTTATGCTTAAAAATGTGCCAACAACAACTTTATAGATGAAATAAATTGTACAGGCAATGTGTATTATTTCATTTATGATCGTCTATTTGTTACTTAGATAAGTAGGAGTTTGAATGAAATGTGTGTATGTTAATCTATTTGTTCTATTCATCTGTGCTTCTGTGTATTGTATGTATGTGTGTTTGTATATATTGTAGTACAATAAGATGTAGACATTTCCAAATCAAGGAAATGTACATAATTGAACCAATTTCATTTCACAAACAGAATATACCATACATTAGGATCATATCATCACATACAAACACACCTAAACGCACACTTTACACTTCATTTAAATTTATTATCATTAATACTAGTTACCAAATCAAATAAACTTTTATATCTATCTCTACTTACTAAGGGGTTTTATTGTCATTATTAAAAATTGTTATAAGATTAGATAAAGAGGGAGAGAGGAAAATTGATTTCATACATTTTAAACCAATCACAAATGAAATGCATAAAAAAAAAGAAAGGGTGAAAGTGAGAAAATTTTACATCTTTAATGAAATGAAGATCTTATATTATTTCATCAGTGTGACACAATGATAGAAAGAATATGGTTAGTTGCACAGTAGTAGTAGTATGGAAGAAAATCGATAAAATTATGATATTTTTTGTAGTTGAGATCATGGGTCAATTGAAGCAAGAGCACCATGGAAAACTTGGAAATGCTGGATGGCTGTTTCGTCCTATTGTTGGACTCCTCAGCACTGAGCATTCACGGTCCCGCCTCGTAAGATTCGAGCCCAGGACCTATCAGTCTCGCGCGCGAGAACTTAACCTCTAGAACCACTGAGCCAGGTTTTCTACAATGGTCTAGATTTAATTGACTAATGATTTCAACTATAAAATTATTAAAATCTCTAAAGAAAACCCTTCTGATTCTACACGAAACCCCCTTCTAAAAATTATGATATTTTGCATTCAGTATGTACAAATTATAAACTATAATTCTATAATGAAGTTTAATCCTGTTAAATGGTGGTGATGATGATATGAAGTAATCACAAAAAACTGTGAACCTGTCTAATTGATTACTAAAAGTACTTTCATTAAGTAAAAGTTTCCTAACCATGAACGTCTCGATGTAATAGGCAAATTCGTAAGTACATAGACGAAGTATGTTGGGTAGAGATAGTGGGTGACTAGTAGAGGAATTCAGGACGCGCGTCAAGTCCCATTTCTGGACTAGTCAGATGGATGTACCAGCACTCCTGAGTTGATGTTCACTCCAGTACTCATACCTTTTGCGTTTACCACTTAGCCACTAGCTCATGTGATAGGGTGAAGAATAATTCATTTTTGTATTGCCTCTTTCAATCTTCCAATTGACGTTTAGGACTGCAATTGAACAGTCTTTTTTGGCATATGTGCATCCTGTGTGAATCGCCTCCATAGTGCCAGTAACTAACAAGCATAAATAGAAACGGATGGTATCTATCAGTGAAATCCAGGACGCGCGTTTAGTTCAGTTAAGGAATTACTGACAATATCGAGTCAATCCGTACAGGATTCACACATCCCCAGTAATAGATTGATCATTCGCAGTCCTAAACATCAACGGCAAGATTCAACACAACGAATACGAAAATAAATTAAAATAGACGAAACATGGTGTTACAAAAACGATGATAATCAGAAAAATGAGTGGAACTGACAAATCTGAACAACATCGATGAATATTTCATGAAGTAACTCATTTACACACCTGTTTTCCATAGGGCTGAAAATGAATTTTTTCTTTCAAAGTAACACAATAGTTAGTCTTGTATTACTCTAGTGCTTTTATTCGCCAACATTCGACTGCGTAATTCTGTAGTCCCAATTACTAATGTCTTTTCTTTATTTCTGTTTTTTTTGTTGAACTCTGACAATTTTATTTATTGACGCTTATCTACCTCTTTTACAAGTTGATGTTTTGTAATTTTTTCATTTTGTTCGTTACTTGAGAGACTTTATAATGTGATTTTATAGGTTAATTAATGAATTAATCTTAGATAGAAAATAACTGAATCATTGGAGGCATTGGATAGTTATTTAGTCCTAACATGAAATCCTTCAACGGTGCTTATTTATGGCCTCGCAGTAAAGAATCAAGCTCAGGACTTTTTGGTATCTCACTAACTAGAATAAATAATCATACTTGGAATATCAGTATATATTGGTAAAAACAAAATTTAAAAAATAGGACAATAGTTCAATTTTTACAACAAGTTTCAGTCTTTTCCTTTTCTTAAATTAAAATTAACCGTTTGATATTGAGCCTAGAACAAGGTTGGATGGAATGTTCTAATGGGCGGCCTAGGTTCTTTCACGAAGGGTAACAGGCGTATGTGAGCAATTTGATATTTTTATTGTTGAAAGCATGAGTCAATTGAAGTTAGACCATCATAGAAAACCTGGAAACATTGCACGACCGTTTCGTCCTATTGTGGGACTCCTCAGCAGTGCGCATCCACGACCTCACATCGCGATATTCGAACCCAGAACCTATCAGTCTTGCACACGACCTCTTAACCACTTGTCCATTGGGCCGGTTGGCATCCAACGGTGTTAATATCTAACTTCAACCAATCCACGAAATTGAGCAACCATTAACCAATGTCTTCAGTGAGTTGATATCTCGCAACAGACCTGGTTGAACTCCACTGGTCACTGCTTCCCACTAGAACTCCAAGAAGTACCTCTTAAAGTCAGTCACTAGTGAGCATATGATTATTATTATTATCAGAAGGGGTTTTGTGGAGATTTCAGTAAAACTGACTCTTGTTAAATATATACGAAGAATTCAAACATTTCAAAATAGTTAAAAAAGAAGAAACTAGAATATATACATCGCAACACCGATCTTTTCATAACGAAGGTGTAGTAGTAGTAGTAGTAGTAGTAGTAGTCGTAGTAGTAGTAGTAGTAGTCGTAGTAGTAGTAGTAGTAGTAGTCGTAGTAGTAGTAGTAGTAGTAGTAGTAGTAGTAGTAGTAGTAGTAGTAGTACACCTTAACATCTTATCATATTCAAATATTACTATAATTTTCTCTATCAAACATTTCATTAATTTGTATCCGTTTTTGCAAATTCTAGATTGCCAATTATTGTAAACAAATATATATCATTGTTAATAGAATTTCTTCATGTATATAAATATGTACACATTTCATCAATTTTACCAATGTCTCTATGTCGAATGTATTTGTTTTCTTGTTCGTATGTGTGTACGTGTGTGTATGTTTATACATGTGAACGTATAGACATCCGCTGATGAACCGGATATAACTCTTTTATCATTGTACAATTTAAAACAAAATTAAATTGTATACAAATAGTTTATAGTAATAATCACAATAATAGTCATTATAGTACTGATAGTAGTAGTAGTATTAGTACTAATGGTAACAGCAAAACTATGTTTATATATACGTATTATATATATATATGTAAGATTCTTGAATGTTATAATGTAGGCAGGTGCTTTATATACAATGATTATGTTTATTATTCATACTACCGAGATGAAATATTTCATTGACTGTCGATCTTATAAACAAGCTTAGTTAAGGTGTATAGTGAAAATAGAAAAACAGGTAAAGTTTTAGTGATAGTGTAAGCACAATTACACATATACATACACAGAGAGAGTGAGAGAGTTAATCATTTAAGCACACAAATTATAATAAACATTAATCAGTGACAACTATAAAGTCCCGGAAGAGGTGGTGATAAAAAGAAGACAACACTAATTACAACATTGAACAATCATTATAATAATGACTGTCAAAAACACTAGTCTATGTTAAAGTTATCATCAACATGAATATCATCAGCATAACAACAACGGTGCCAACAAGAAGGAAGAGGAATAAAGAGTATATTGATTTCATGAACTAATTAAGATAGAAACTAAATGTATATAAACATATAGTTCATTCGATTTTGTTTATTCAATTCCTATTAACACAAAACATTAAATTTCATGTATACATTCATCTATAACAATGTTTATATTATAATGTGAATGTGAATTTTCAAATATATATGGACTGTTTTTAATTGAAAAAAAAAAATAATTCGAAGCAAAATTTAAATTATTGTTTATTACTTTCGTCATGGTGATTGTTATTATTATTATGGTCTAAACAACTTCAATTTTACTTAAGTACTTATATATATATATATATATATATATATATATATATTCACTGGTGCTCCTACAAGACTGGCAGAATTCTCATCCTGTACTCACCCTGGATGGTGAGCAGATTGAAGTAGTTGAGAAGTTCGTGTATCTGGGTAGCTATATAAGTGCTGGTGGTGGCGTGAGTGATGAGATTGATGCATGTATAAGGAAAGCCAGAGTGGCTTATGCCAATCTGGGCCATCTTTGGCGCCTTCGTGATGTTAGTCTGGCTGTAAAAGGTCGGATCTACAACGCGTCGGTGAGAGCAGTTTTGCTCTATGCTTGTGAAACCTGGCCTCTCCGAGTTGAGGATGTTAGACTACTCTCTGTGTTCGATCATCGTTGTCTCCGAAGGATTGCTGACATTCAGTGGCAACACCATGTTAGTAATGCAGAGGTTCGGCATCGTGTGTTCGGGCGCAGAGACAATAATTCAATTGGTGTCACCATCTTGAAACACCGACTTCGGTGGCTTGGACATGTTTTACGAATGTCGTCCCAGAGACTTCCACGTCGTGTATTATTTGCCAACCCTGGGACTGGTTGGAGAAAGCGGAGAGGAGGTCAGTGTATGACATGGTGTCGTGGCATGAAAGAAAGCTGCAAAGGGCCAGTTTCCGTTGGTCCTTCACGACTCCCTGGTTGGGGTCCGAGAGATGGTGCAACACAGTGGCTAGAGACGTTATCAGATATGGCTCAGAATAGAAGCCAGTGGCGATCCTGCTGCAACCTTCTTTTACTTTCTACATAAAGAATGGTTCTAACTTTCTTAACTGAAAGAGTCTTCTGGTTGTACATTTCAGTCCGCCTTATCTTTTCATCCCTTCTCTTCCTACTTTCATTATTTTGTGTGGCGCATATGTACCTGGTGCCCTTTTGTACCAATATATATGCGTTTCAATAAATAAATAAACTGGTGCTCGAACTCGGGGCCATGTTTTGGACGTCCAAACTTTATACCACGAAGTTGATAATTGATAATTGCTAAGAAATTTCATGGTATGACAAAATAGTTGTCTAGTCCATTTTGGTTTTCAGTGGATAGTTTAACTAAATTCGATTTATGATGTAAATTATGAAATTCCATCACCTCTTTAGGACCTCTATGCAGAATAAATGACAATAATAATGTTTTTAAGAGTTTAATTCATTAGTTGATTTAAGCTAGACCACTAATAAAAACCTGGAA